GCTAGGCGGAGGATTAGCCTAGTGAGCCGCGGCGCCGGCCTGATTTTTATTTTTTAAAGGATTTATTTATTTGTTTGAAAGGCACAGTTAGAGAGAGGAGAGACAGCTCTTCCATCCACTGGTTCACTCCCTAGAGGGCTGCAACAGCCAGTGCTGGGCAAAGCCAGGAGCCTCATCAGGGCCTCCCACGTGGCTAGCGGGGACCCAAACACTTGGGCCATTTTCTGCTGTTTTTTCCAGACCATTAGCAGGGAGCTGGATCAGAAGTGGAGCAGCCAGCACCACAGGTGGCAGCTTTATCCACTGTGCCACAACACCAACCCTGAGCCATGATTTTTGGACCCAGAAAATAAATTTAATCTAGACTCCAAGGAGGAAGGGTTACTTTCAGAGAGAAAAATGGGTACTAATTCCCGCGAAGACTGAAAACAGAACCCCAAGTTGAGGAGAGTGGCGCCCACAGGGAGAACCTCCCACTTGGACCAGCCTTGGGGGGAAATGGGAGCTGGTGGACAACATTGAAAACTTCAGTGAGGGGCCTCCCACGGGGAGTCAGCAGAACAGCCCAGGGACATCGGAAACAGCCGGGCGAGAATCCCAGTGAGGAAGGACCAAGCGGGTGGGAACAGAAGGCTGCACAGGACTCAAGGTTGACTTGCAGCATTTGAAGAGTTGACAGACAGGAGTAGACCCCTGTGGGAACAGGAGGAGCCTCGGCCGGAAGCTGCAGGAAGGCAGACTCTACAGAACAGAACGGAAGGCAGAAGCTTCGCACACGGCGGAGAGGGAAGGTGAGCGGTTCCCCCACAGAGAGCGATGGGCAGCTTGTTGCCATGACATTGCAGGCAGAATTTGGCATCTGCAAAGGGCTGAACCGTGGTGACTGCTGGCTAAACGCTATAGGTGACTTTTAGGAAATGTCGCAAATGTAAAGAATCTCAGGACCAGGAGGGACTTAAAGCTCATCTAATCTGATAATGCATTTGACTCCTGAGCTGCCTCTCTGATCAGGGATGGAAAAACACACCCAAATTAGGCTTGTGTGCACTATTAGCCACCGGAGGCAGAGGGGTTCCAGCTACTCATCACCAGGATTGAGAACGAACGTACGTTCCTCCCAGAGAGTTCACATGCTCAAGGTGGTTCGGGGGAACTTTCGTGATAACCCTTCCCAATGAGCCGGGAAAGATGGGCTAAGTACTGATGAATCTTGCATGTAATTTTGTGTTACTTGTCACTCTTGCTTGTTACTTGAGAATCTAAATTTAGGAAACAAATACCAGGTTATTCTTCATATTTCAAAGGGATCCTTCACTTTGGGATACTCTGACGTCACTAACGCCAACAATGAGCTCACGGTTCACCAGTTTCCTCCCTAGCCTCAGGCAAAAGCTCTTTGCACACAACTTTCCAAGAACTGGCATGCCACACAAGGTGAATCCCTCTGATACAGCAACATAAATACTCCCTTTGCTTGACTGCCAACACACACGTGGCCAGTGATCAGTCCAGGTCCACCCAAAGGGAGGCCTGGCAGAGGCATCTATTCAGATGCAGAATTTCAAGACCTGTACCAGTCAGGGCTCTGTTTATTGAGAGGAGACAGGTAGAAAACATCAGACATTGTTCTGAATGGCATTGGACTCAAAATCCTACTGGGGTTACTCTACTACAGTTTGTTAGCTGTGGACCTAGGATGGGGATGGGGGGCTGACTTAATCTTTCTGAGCCTTGGATTCTTATTTTTTTTAAAAATATTTATTGAGGGGCTGGCACCATGGCTTACTTGGTTAATCCTCTGCCTGCGGCACCGGCATCCCATATGGGCGCTGGGTTCTAGTCCCAGTTGCCCCTCTTCCAGTCCAGCTCTCTGCTGTGGCCCGGGAGGGCAGTAGAGGATGGCCCAAGTGCTTGGCCCCTGCACCCGCATGGGAGACCAGGAAGAAGCACCTGGCTCCTGGCTTCGGATCGGCTTAGTTCCAGTTATAGCAGCCATTTGGGGAGTGAACCAACAGAAGGAAGACCTTTCTCTCTGTCTCTCTTTCTCACTGTCTATAACTCTACCTGTCAAATAAATTTTTAAAATTAAAAAAATATTTATTGAGGGGGTAGGCGCTGTGGCACAGTGGGTTCAAGCCCCGGCCTGCAGCGCCAGCATTCCATATGGGCACCAGTTCAAGTCCCAGCAGCTCCACTTCTGATCTAGCTCCCTGCTAAGGCTCCCAGGATAGCAGTGGAAGATAGCCCAAGTGTTTGGGCTCCTGCCACATACATGGTAGACCCAAATAAAGCTCCTGGCTCCCGGTTTCAGCCTGGCCCAGTCCTGGCCATTGCAGCCATTTGGGGCATGAACTAAAAAGATATTCTTCCCCACCCTCCAAAGAAATAAACTTTTTTAAAAAAATATTTATTTGTTTGAAAGGCAAAGTGACAGAGACAGAGAGAGCACATGCTTCCATCCACTGGTTCATTTTCCAAATGCCCACAGTAGCCAGGGCTGGGTCAGGCCAAAGCCAGGAGCCCAAAACTCTATCCAAGTCTGCTATGTGGCTGGCAGGACTCAAAGCACCTGGTGATCAAGTGCTGCCTCTCATTACATTAGCAGGGTGCTGGATCTGAAGCGGAGCAGCCAGGACTCACTCCAGCCTCCAATATGGGATGTGGGCATCAGAAGAGGAGGCTTAACCTGCTGCACCACAGTGCTTGCCCCTGAGCCTGAGTGTAATCAAGGAATACTGAATCACACAGTTACTCTGAGGACTAGAGAGAATGGCTACAATGCATGCACACACACACACATGCGTGCCTTCCCCTCCCGAACACAAAGCCTGACACATGATAGGGAGTCTCTCTGCTACTTTGCTGCTTAGGAAGCCAGTGAGGTAGCACGCCCAACAATTGTTAATGCTGTTTCATACATGGCAGAGCCAAGCCACAAACTACAAGTGCAGCCAGAACAAAACCTGGCTCCTCCACCCTGGCTGCAGCTGCCAGGCAACTTCACCCTCTCCTCTGGTGAGATATTCCAGTAGGTAAGGAGAGAGGGCTGGTTTTAAGAAGTCATAAAGTAACAGGAGCTGTGGGTGGCAGAAAACCTCCAAACACACTGCCCCTTCCCTGATGTCCTGCTGGTCTTAGAGGCCCTGGTCTTAGAGAAGGCTGAGTGGGTGGGAGGCCTGACCGCGGGGCGGGAGGGGGGGTGGTACATCCCTTACCTCCAAGAAACCTGCACCCATCAGTATCATCTTTGCTATGGTTCAAGGGCAATCTCAGTCTTACGTGGAAGTGAACAGGAGCCTCTAACTACATGTTCACCAGAATGACTGAAAAAAAGAGAAAGGAAATGAAAATACTGTGTTCTGAGGACTTTATGGGACTGGCTGGAGTACAAATTGCTACAAGCCATTGTGAAAAACTGCTTGGGAGAACTGTTAAAGCTGGGGCTGGTGCTGTGGTATAGAGGGTAAAGTTGCTGCCTGCAGTGCCAGCATCCCATGGGCGCTGGTTCGAGCCCCCACTGCTCCACTTCCCATCCAGCTCTCTGCTGTGGCCTGAGAAAGCAATGGAAGGTGGCCCAAATCCTTGGGCCCTTGCAGCCGCGTGGGAGACCTGGAAGAAGTTCCTGGCTCCTGGCTTCAGACTGGCACAGCTCTGGCCATTGCGGCCATCTGGGGAGTGAACCAGTGGATGGAAGACCTCTCTCTCTCTCTCTCTGGATGGAAGACCTCTCTCTCTCTCTCTCTCTCTCTGCCTCTCTGTAACTCTGCCTTTCAAATGAATAAATAAATAAATCTTTAAAAAAAAAAGAATTGCTAAAGCTGACATTCACACTTCATGATGCAGCAATCGTACTCCTGGGTACAGAGAACAGAGGTGTGTGTGATCCCCAGCAGAAGGTGGACTAGACCTAGGCCGCACCACGCAGTAGCCCTAGCCGCATGTGGCTCTTTACACTTTAAGTACCATAATTATAATCTTAGAAAATCAAAAATTTAGTTCCTCAGACATACCTGTCATATTTCAAAAGCTCCAAAGCTACCTGTGACTAATGGCTACTGTATTTAACAATACAAGTAAGGGGCATTTCTATCATCAAAGAAAGTCCTACTGGACATTGTTCTAGAATGTTCACAGCTTCACTATTCACAATAGCCAAAAAACGAGACACCTCTAATGCCCATCAACAGCAGAATGGATAAATTCGCTATGGTGTACTCACACAGTGGAATACTCAAGTAATGAGATGAAGAGCATTGGGCTGCACGAAGCCGGAGGGATGGATGTCCCTCCAGGGTGGCAGTCCCAGGACCCTCCCACACAGAGCCACACCAGCAGGTGCTCCATCCCTTGTAGTGTCTGTATGCACCCTACGCATGCTCTGTTGCAGACTTTAAACCATCTCCGGGTTACCTGCAATACCTGATACCATGTCAATGCCATGTGAGTAAGTCCTACACATCATTGTTTAGGGAACAATAACAAGGCAGGGGGGGTGGGGGTGGGGTGGGGGGTGTACACATTCGGCACAGACCCAATTTTTCCATTGGGGTTGTCTGAATTCAGGGATATACAAATACGGGATACGGAGGGCCAGCCGTATAGGACTCCACTTACAAAAGGTTCCGAAACAGGCAAAACCAATCTATGCTGTTAGAAGCCAGAAGAGTGGCTACCCCCGCAGGTTTTAGCCATGAAAAGAAGGGCATGTGAGGAGAGGGCTTTGTTGTGCTTCCTCACCAGCGGGTGCTGGCAAGGGGGGTGCTGAGTATGAAGACTAGGTGGGCTGTGCTTTTCCGTGCGATCCACACCCTGCGGTGAATTCCGACTCCCTCAGGGGGGTCGTTCGCCACTGTCTAGACTGGGGGAGGGGGACGGAAGCGTCCTTTCGACAAAGCAAACGTGGTTTTGAGGTTAGTGCCTCCTCCCCAGGAGCCCCTACAGCGGCCCTCAGGAGTCCCCAGACCCACCCCGGACAGCCCACCCCAGACAGCCCAGCCTACCTGGGCGCTGCGCGCGGGACCCGGCTCCGCGCCTGTTGACGGCGGTCGGTGCTGCGGGCTCTTCCAGGCCGGACTCGTCCCCAGCTGGCCGGGCTCTCCCGGGGCTCGCGGCTATGTTCCCGGTCAGGCCAGCTTAGCCCGCCTCGGCCTGCCTGGGAGGCGGCGCCCCGCACCTGCGTTGCCCCTGCTCCTCCTCCGCGGCCGAGCACTGAACTCCGTCCACTCCTCGCCAGCGCTAGGCTCCCTCGAACTGGGAGTGCAGGCGCCCGGGAAGTCCCCTCTGGGTCCCTGAAGTCTAAAGCGAAGGCGGGAGGAGGCTGCGACTGAGGCCTGGAGCCACTCCGCCTTCCGCACGCGCAATTCTCAAGGGAAGCGCCCGCCCATCCGGCCCCACCCAGGCGGGATGCGCGCCTGCACGCGCTCCCGTGGAGCCTGGGGGTCCCCGGAGAAGCGGAGTGCGACCGAGTTTCCCCTCCCGACCCTTTCCTCCCCGCAGCGATGGGCTACAGGGGGCCCGTGGCACCGCCAAGAACATTCTTTCATCTTCCCCGTCAGTGCAGTTCCCCAGGCTGCAGCCACGGTCCAAGCCCCCGCTAGGCATTCCCGGCCCTGCAGCCCCGCCAGGGGCCGCCTGCCCAGAGTTTACCCGCACCAGCCCCGCAGTGTCGGGGTTGGGAATCTTCGGCCCTACCGCTCGCCACCGGTCCGCGGACCTGGAGTGCCTCAAAGGCAGGAGAGAGCTTGGGCTGGTCCACTGCTCACCGCCTAGCACTAGCCTGGCATAACGCGCAGCAGGGCCGGACCAGCACCAGCCCTGCGGTAAACTGCTCTTACCCCGATCTTCACATCCAACTTTCAAAGCCCCGGTAATGGGCACATGCATGTTTACATAAACACACATCCAGCTGTACACCTAATATTTGTCTCATCATAGGTTTCTTAAAGAAATACCTGAGAGGCACCGTGAGTAGACCCATTTCATAGAGAAGGAAATGGAGGCTTCCGACTTGGGTCTCCATTGCTGGTCAGGTTGGTATGGCAGGAACCTGACTCCAGAGGCCATCCTTAAGAGTCCTCTATCAGACTGCAGAGGGAAAACCGCTGGCCACCTGGCACGTGTTCTACCATGGGGCCTGCCCACTGCCGAGCTCCCTGGGGCACATCTCTGGCTGGAGGGTGGGGTAGGGCGTGTTATACACCCACTCAGGGAAGCAAAGGGGGGCTTGAGCCGGAAGTGGCCTCTGAAATCTTACAGTTCACGCTCTCTCTGCCTGAGAGCACCGACAGCAAGGTCCAGATAGAGAACTCCGTTGATCTGCTCAGAGTCTCATAGGTCTAGAGGGCGCACCTGAATTTTATGATTTCTCCTGGCTCACAGGACAATACAGCGAAGCCGCAGTCTGTGCCTGGCACAGGAGCTCAGGGTTTTCACCCGCCCATGGCCTCAGCCCCAGAGCCCCGCAATGCCTAGGACGGAAATCCTTCAACAAAGTGATGGGAGCTATTTATACCTGGGACAGCAGGCCCCTGAGTGGGTCGGGAGCAGGGAGGGTCTGGTCCAGGCCGGCTTTAAGTGTCTTGAGACACGCGAGCCACGCGGAAGGCAGTCCATGCAAGCAGTTTCCTCTGGGAGGGTCACGCACCTCTTTCCAGAAGCAGAGGGGATACAGAGTGAAGGAAGAGCGGCAGGGCCAGGAGGAAGCGGAGGGAGGTGAAGACGGGTGCTGGGAGTGCGAGAGGCCACCGCCCAGCAGGATGCTGGACTGGGTCAGGGAAGAAAAGAAAAAGGTTGCTTACTTAGGAAACTCCCAAGGGGAAGCAACGGGCTGTTCCCACTGACTTCAGCTCTAGGAGCATAGACGCTGAAATCCCGCCTGGGTGTGTGTGGGGGGAATGGGGGACAAGTCTTGTTCACCTACCATTCCCAGCACCCAGAGAAGGCAGGGGAAGCCCAGCTGGGTCCCAGACACAGGTTTGGGATTTATTGCATACATCCCGCATCGCCACCCAAGCCCTCCCCAGTCCCCAACTGTGTGTCCTGAGGTTTTCATCAAGTTCCCACTCAGCCTCCTTTCAACACAGGGAATAGAAGATGTCCCAGGAAGCATCTTGGGGTACAGGAGGCAGGACCCTGCTCTGGGATCCGGATGGGTTTCTAGGTGTCCTGGCTGGGTCTAGGGGAGCCAAGAGTTGCGTGCTCCTCATCGTCCTCACAGCCGGCACCCACGGCCTCAGCTGAACACAACAGGAGGCCGAAAGGAGCCTGCAGGGCATCCCCCAGCCCTTCCACTCCTACTATGGTTTGTGCCCCAGAGGGAAAAGTTACCAAAGCTTTGCGCCACACCATCTTCTGGTACTGGAAAGTACCTAACACTCTGGTGCCCCAGACCAGGGAGCCATGACCCCAACTTGGGTGGCTCAGGACAGAAGCTTGGCTTGAAGGATGAACTAATGTTAACCAGAAAGAGAAGGGGGGGAAGGCACGGCAGGGAGGGGCTGAGGACAGCGCACTGCTCCAACCGGCTCCCGTTTTGTCACAGGAGCATCAGCATCGCGCCACCTCCTCTCCAGGCTTTCCCTAACCACCTACCCAAAAAGGACTCCACTCCCAGAATCTGGATCTACTTCCTACTTAGAATTAATCTACTGTTTGCACGTGTTTGCCGGACTGGCTGCATACATACATACAAAACCTGAAAATAAACACGGCATCTACAGACACCGGATTTGGTCTCACCGTCCTAGCACGCAGAGCAGGGCAAATGAAGATGTCTTAGGTGCTCGGGGTAGGCGCAGAGTTGCGTGGAGGGATAGATGTGTGGGTGGGTGGGGGGGTGGATGGATGGATGGATGGATTAGTCTTTCCCATCGGCAGCAGTGAGGCACGCACACACCAAAGCCAGAATTCCCTCTTCAGCCCTAACTGGAGCACCGCCTGGTAGACAGTGGCTCCAGAAGAGGGGCCCGGCTAGGAACTGAGCTGGGGGCATCGCGGGGGTGGTGAGAGTGGTGGGCTGCGCAGAGGAAGGCAGCATGGCCGGGAGCGAGGCGAGGGAGGGAAGGGGGTTCGCCCGCCAAGCGCCGCTCCTGCAGCCTCCTGCTAGGCCATTTTGGACTTGTCCAAGGCGCATCCTGGGCGGTCAGAGGGCTTCGGAGGGCTCCCCGGCCTGCCGGCCTCCCCGTCTCCTTTTCCTATCCCCCTCCTCGCGTCTCTCCAGCTCCCCAGCCGGGCGGCCTCCACCCCCTCTGGGAAGGGCGAAATTGCTAAACTTGTAGCAATAATGACCCTGCATTCAGGCCGCCGACTCCCGCTGAACGTCTCCGCGCCCCTCCCTGCTGCCCGCCCAGCCCCCGGCGCCCCCTCCCCCAGCGCACAAGAAACGGGGAACAAAACGCGCGCGCATTTCTCGGTCCCTCTGTGGAGCAGACTGCTGCACAAAGCCCCCGCTCTGAGAAGCAATGGGGAGCTGGGGAGGGGGACGTCAATCCGACGCGCTAGGGTTTTTGTTCGCCTAGGGGACCTCGCCTTCCTACCACACCTTTTGTTCGGGACTCCAATAAAAAGCCATTCTTCCCGCACCTTCCCGGCCCCGAGCCGCCTTTCAGCGAGGCCCGGCCCCACAATGGCGCGGCGCTCTGAGGCCTCCCCATTCACCCGCCTTGGCACGCTCACAATCGGCCGTGTGGCAGCACAGGCCTCGCACAGGCATTCTCGCCGAGTGACAAGGAGCCGCATAAAGCCGCGGCCGCCGGGGGAGCAGGGAGGGCGGCCGCGGGGGAGAGCTCGGCCGCGGCGGGGCGCAGCGCCCCCGGGCGCGCTGGAAGCCTCGGCGGCGGCGGCCAAGCCAGGAGCCGCCTTCGCGCCGCCCCGCGGCTGGGCCCCAGGGTCAGGTCTCCCCTCTTTCCCGGAGACCCTCGAGTTGGGGCAGAGTCTGTGCCTCGACCGAACGCAGGTCCAGACAGCCCGTCGTCTTGCCAGACAGCATCGGGGAAAGCTGGGGGGGGGGGGGAGATTAAAACACCCGGGACCTCACCAGGGCCTCCCCACAAAAGGGACATTAACAAAACCACGGAGAGATTGGACCCGCAGCCCGGACCGGGCTCGGGGGCGGCCAGGCCGGGGACCGCACCTTTCCCGTCCCTTCCCGCCGCTCAAAAGCTCCCTCCCCAGAACAAAGCCCAGAGCCGGCCAGCGGGTTGGACATATTGCACCTTGTTTATTGATTCCTGTAGTGTATGGCAGCGGTGTGTACACGGCGTGTGGATACAGTTACATAGAGATAATACGTGCTGGGTACAGGATACGAAACAGAAAGGAACCGGGTCGCCCCCGTGGGCGCCGGCCCCGGAGCTGTTCAGCGCCCCCCGCCCGACTTCCGAGCGCACTCGGCTGGTCTTCCGCGAAGGGTCCTGCGCCCGCGACCGTCCGGAATCTGATCGGGACGTGCCCGCTGCGGAGGGAGGCGGACGCAGAACGAAAACCGACTGTGGCTGGCGCTGCGGGCCGCAACGGCTGCAGAGGACGGGTAGGGCCAGGGCTTTCTCCAGCCACGACCTCCCCTTCTCTCTCCTTCATGCTCCGCTCTCCCTTGGGCTCCCTGCCGACGCTTCGCAGGGCCGCGGCGGGGCAGAGCGAGAGAAGCCGCCCTCGCTGCGGGAGCACCCCGCATAGCCAGTCTTGGCCTCCCGCACTCCCCTGGCCGCCGCCCTCGGGGCTCCCAGTCCGCTTGTCCGCCTCAGAGACAGTCCTGCAACCGGACCCAGGCATCCTCCTCGCCCCTGACCGCTGCGCAGGCCTCGAGTGGGCTGCCAACCCGAGCCCAGGGGCGCAAGACGGGTAAATTATTATTTATTTTTTTTTAACGAGGGGACCTGGCCCTTGGGTCCAGCCTTTCTCGCTCTTGAGTCCCCGCGGTGCCGAGCTGCGGAAGGGCGCCCGCCGCGTGCCTCACCCCGTCCCTACCAGGCCCGTATGCCCTGTAAAGCGCCCTGCGCGCACGCGGCCCCGGCGGCCGCACCCTGGTGCAAGGGCTGTGCGCCGCCGCCGCCGAAGCCTCCCAGGCCGCTCACGTTCACGAAGGGGCCGCCCCCGGCCGCGCTGCAGGCGGGCTGCACAGCCGTGGCCGCCGCCGAGGCCCCGCCGCCCCCGCCGCCGCCACCGCCGCTGCCCGCCGGGTACGCACAGCCGTAGCTGCCGCTGTAGGCCGCGGCGGCGGCGGCAGCGGCTGCAGCAGCGGCGGCGGCGGCCGAGTTCCCGTAGCCGTAGGCGGGGAAGCTGTTGTAGGAATAGGCACCGGCGCCCACGCCGTAGGGCGCGCCGTAGGCCTGCGCGCCGGGCGTGACGCAGGGCTTGCCGTCCCGCACCAGCACCGGCACCGCCACACGACGCGGTGGCGGCGGCGGCGCGTGCGCGCCCAGCTCCAGGGACTTGTCCTGCCGCTGTCTCTTGCACTTGTACCTGCGATTCTGGAACCAGATTTTCACTTGCGTGGACGTGAGCTTCAGGCTGCTGGCCAGGTGCTCGCGCTCGGGCGCCGACAGGTACCGCTGCTGCTTGAACCTGCGTTCCAGCTCGAAGACCTGAGCTTGCGAGAAGAGGACCCGCGGCTTCCGGCGGCTGCGCGGCTTCGGCCTCTCGCCCTCCTCCGCGGCCTCACAGTCTCCCGCCGCCTCCAGAGGCTTCTTCAGTGGGCAGCTTTCTGCGGAGGAAGCAAAACAGCAGCGTCCGTTAGCTGTCCCCGGCCTCCCCGCGCCTCCTGTGGTGCGTGGCCGCGAGGAGAGCGCGGTCAGAACGCTCGCGGCCCCCAGCGCGCGGTGGCGGGGCCCTTGCGACGGCACCCGGGCCCGGCGGACGCCCTCGGCGCAGTGCGTGGGGGCGCGTTCCGTGGGAAGGAGAAGCGAGCGCGCGTCTGTTAGGACCCTGAGCGGCTGCGAAGGAAGAGATAACCCCGTGTGAAATGTGCGGCTCGACGAGCTAACGAGCGTTTTCGAGATGAAAATAGAGACAGTGCTTGCGACCTCGTTTGCCTCCCGCGCCACGCCGGGTGGCTGAGGCTGTGAGGCGTGCGGAGCTGGGCGCCAGGGCACCAGCGTGCGCCAACGTATTTCTTTCTGTAGCGTCTGCACGTAACTCCAGGCCTTGCCCGGCGGCTGCCTGTTTGCTTATAAAAGGCTGGATGCAAATATGTGCGTGACGGCGTCTGCGTTACCTTGGGGAGAAACAAAGTTTGATTTTAGGCAGCTCCGTGCCGATTTGGGCCCGGCGAGCTGTCAGAGCAGAGCCTTCTCCCCCACCCCACCCCCAACCCTCCTCTAGGGGAAAGGAGAATCTTTGACACTGATATTTCCGAAACGCTTGCTGGGGGGTTGCTCTGTTATCCGATCCCCCTGCCTGTCCCGAGTGAGCTGCTGGGGTCTGAGACTAAGTTCGGCGCGTCTTTTTCGGCGCCCGCCACCTGGGACACAAAGCAGAACGGAAGGAATTTTCAATAAAGCTGGCGCCTCAGGGGAGTGAGAGTTGTGGGACGCGGGCGGGACTGTGTCCCCACGAACTCTCCCACTGTCCCCTCCTCGCGGGAGCGCGCACGCGGGGCCCCAGGCTGAGAAGCCAGGAATCCACCCAGCCGCTCTCCACCCGAAGCCCCGCGCGCTGCGGGCGCCAGAGACACAACCTGCCTGGGCTGCCTCTTCGGAGGGGATGGGGTGGCTGCCCTGGCCGCAGAGAACTCGTCTCCCGCCGGAGGGTAAGCGAAAGGGGTGGAGGCTCCTACCCTCCTTTTGGGGGAGAAGAGCCAGCACTGCGCGAGTGGTTCGGGCCCCGCAGCAGCGCCCGTGTGGCCTAGCTGCGGCCGGGCAGCGATGTGCACTTTCCCTTCCCGCCGGGGCCGCGTTGCCGTCGGGGTCACCGCGTCCTTCCCCCTCCGTCCCGGCTCCCTCGCAGGTACCTGCGCTGTGCGGAGCTGGCGATGACCAGGGCGGAGGCACGGCACGGCCCCAGCAAAAGGTTAAAGGGGCAGTCAGCAGTGGTGCCGGCAAGGCTTATGGGCTGTTTGCGGGCGCTCGGCCATCGCTGCAGGTGTGCGAGTGCGTTTCCTTTCCCCCTCTACTCACTTTGGCTCCGGTCCCTCCCGACCTCGGGCTCCTCTTCGTGTCCCTTGGGCCCGCTGCACGAGTCTCGCAGGACTGTGTGGACATAGCTCTGGGGACAGAGACCCGAATCCCCGTGGCCGTCGGCTGCGGCTAGAGAGTTCAAATAGGACAGTTTCTCGCCCTCTTCTTCCTCGTCCTCCTCCCCTCCGTCGGAAAACTGCGCGCCGTCGGCTGCGGCCAGCATGCAGGGCGCCGCGTGGAAGTGGTGCTCCAAGTCAGCCTGCAAGTGCGCGCCGTGGAAGTGCTGCTGCTGCTCCAGATTCAAAATGTCTTTGACTGAGAAAGGGGTGGAGGTGACCGGGCTTGGTAACATCATCAGGGCCACTTAATTGTCCAGTCCAAATACTCAATAAATCCCGGCGGGGGCGGGGAGGCAGCGCGGCGGCTCCAGCTCTCCGCCTGGACTCCGCCGCTGCTGCCGAGTCGGACTTTTGACAGGCGCGGTCCCGCTCCAGTCTAAATCGCCTCCATTGGCCCGGACCTGGGGGTCTGGGTTTTGTTACAGCCACTGCAGAGACTGGGGCCGGGGCCGCGAAGGCTCTGTCCGAGGGCCCTGCGTCACGTCGGGGGCGGGGCACGCGCCCCGGCCTCCGTCGCCATTGGCTCGGGCTCCCGTGGGCCACGCCCCCGCGGCCCGTGGAGAGGGTGCAGCAGCGATACCAGAAATAGACGCGGACGTGTTGCGGAGTCCGGGAGCCCCGGGCGCTGCAGGCCAGGCTGCGCTCCCCCGGGGGTCCGGACCGCCGACTCCCGCCTCTCCTGGCCGCGCCTTCCTGATCTGGGCTAGTTCTGGGGAGCTTACTGTCCACGAATCAACTCCTGGGAAGGATGCCCCAGGAGTGTTTTTTTTTTCTCCAGTTGCTGTGGGGGCGAGAAAACTTCCTGGCCGGTAGTAACCGGGCGCAGGATCCAGCAAGCAATAGAGTATATCTCCCGACAGATGGGAGCCGTGACAGTTCCCGCCTGTGGCCTTTGCTCGAGCCGCGCTCTGCGCCGGGGATGGCTTTCTCGCTCTTGTCTCCACGAGCCAAGCTGTTCTCCAAGGCTGTGCTGAAATACCACCTCCTGCAAGGAAGCACTGCCCGGGCACCTAGCCGGAGGGCCTGTCTCCAGCCTCTGCACTTGCAAAGGACAGCCGTGTCACGTCGCACTTCCCATCTAGTTTTGCCGCTGAATGTGCCTGCCGGGTCATCCTGATTAGACCGTCATCCCCCGAGGGCAGTCTTGGTTGCTTTTTGCCCTTGTAGCCCCTTAAAGCTGCTCCACGGAGCAAGTCTATCAAAGGCACGTTGGTGCAGTTTCTAGAAAGCTTGGGTGTCCAGACAGCTCTTGATTCCAATCCTGGCCTGGGGCGTGGCTAGACTCAATTTCCTCGTCTATAAAAAGATGAATACCTTCTTCAGCGTCATTAGGGTTAAATAAGGCAAGACACCCCAGAATTTGGCGCAGGGCTCTGCAGCCTGCCAAGTGCTCCGTATGTGCACCAGGGGTCCACGTTGGCTGCACTGGTGGTGACGTGGCTGAGGGTGGCTTCCCACGGTTTTGAGAGCAGGATCTGTCGTCGCCAGGGAGGTGACCCAGCAGTGGCGGCTGACTTTTTCCGCCTATTGAAATTGGGAGTCTGGGGCTTGCCTCTGCCACACGTCTTCTGGCGTCCTCATGAGGCCCTGGTGCTTTTTTGGGAGCCCACGGGGTTCCCAGAAATTCTAGAAAGTCCGCGCGTGTGGGGACCATCTTCTCCCCTTTGTCGTGGGCATTGGCCCGTTACCATGCCTAGCCTGGTGAGGAGCAGCTGGCCCAGCTGTCAAGGCGCCGCCGAAAAACCCGTAGGCAGCGCGGGCCTTGAAAAAAAATTAATATAGGGGCCAGTTTCGACACAACTGTGGCGCCCCCTCATCTGGCCACAGCCATCCCAAGCGAACTTCGGCGGCCAGGATAGTAGAACCTGGGAGACAGTGGCCTCAGCTGGAAGAGGCGGATGGAAGGTGCAGGGGCTGCGGACGACGCCCCCGGGTGGCGGCAGGCACCGCGTGCGCGCGTCTGGGGGCGACGGTGGAGAGCTGCCGTGCTGGGGGGGCCCCCAGCTACTGGGAGACCAGGGGGTGTCAGCGGCCGAGCAGAGCGCGAACCTGTCGGGAGGGGGAGAGGCGGGGCTCTTCAGGAGCGAGCGGAAATGTTGCGGGGGGCAGACCCTGGGGCCGCCTGGGGAGCTGGGATGCGGCGCAGGCCACGTGCGCCGGGGCATACTTAGGGTGGCGGCGGTCGGTGGGCAGTGGGCAGAGACCCTCTGTGGGCAGAGCTTTGCGCCCGACGACGGTGCCTTTCTGCTTTAAATCCTGAAACTGATGGCAACTCGGGAGGAGGCCGGTGTCTCCAAACCAGGCCGCCCAGTCTACACGGGGAAGAATGCACCTGGTTTTGCCGCGGATCCCCGGCCGCGCCCGGGCGCAAAGATCCAGAGAGAGAGAGAGAGGTGGGGGTGAGTGCGCGGCGCTGCGGGGTGGGGGCCCTTGAGTATGCGTGCGCGCGGTGGCCCGGGAGCATGCGAGGGAAGCCGCGCTCGGGCCCCACTCCCCGGTCCCACCGCCAGGTCGGACACCAACTCGCGATGTTCTGCTCCCTGATCTTCTCCGCCTCCTGAGCGATTTCAAGATTTTGGGAAAAAAAGAAAAAGACAAAAACTATCGAAACTACCCTTGTCTTCCCAGTTTACAACGAAGCCAGGCGTTCTCCTCGCTACGTTCCCTTGCTTGCCGTGGCGCCGCCCTCCTAGGCCTTCCCTAAATCTGGTCCCGAGCACCTGGGGCTTGCAACTGCCACCGGGCCCACCGTCCTAGTGCCCGCACACCCGAGCCCCCCTCTGCCTGCGCACGCCGGGCGCCTTCCCGCCTGCAAGCTCGCTCCCGGGCCGCCGCCGCCACTACCGGCCAGGTACTTTTGGGCCGGGCCGGAGGGGTCCCCCCCTGGAGGGCCCGGGCGCGGGTGCTCCCCCGACCTCGGGACCCAGCCCCCGCGCCTTCTTATTCCCGCGCAGTTCAGGCCCGGAGGGTTGGAAGGGGTCTCGGAGCGAAGAGGCCTAGTGGGCGGCTTCCCTGTCCCATCCCCCTCCCACCTCCCTTCCTGGGGATGGAGAGAGAAAACGAAACTCCTACCGCGACCGCGTCTCCAGGGTTGATCTTTGTTTTATGCCCAGAACAGGGGTCCTGGGGATCTCCCGCTGCCCTCTCTGGGAGATGTGGCTGGCTTCCTTCAGTCTGGCTCTCAGGCAGCCTGGATCCCGCGGGTCAGTCCCATCTAGCTGGTCTCTCTCCCTTGCCTGCAGCCCGCACTTCCAACGCGTGGGCCTGCGCGCCGCGGCGGGGAGGCGGACGCGAGGGCTGCGGATCCTTGGTGGTGCCCGCTTACCGGCGTGGAATCCGGTTCCAGCCCGGATCCAGTTACTGTAGCATTCAGGGGCATTTACATTCCCAGGTCTGAGAAGAGTATCTTTGAAATCCTGGAGCTGTGCTCAACTAATAATGGGTTTTCGTTCCAGACTGTTTAGCTAATTACTGTCAGATAAGGTAAATATTGGTTGCATCCCTGGAAGCGTGTGATTTGATTTTAATCGACTGTATCTGCCTTGATTTGCTCTTCTCTCATTGTACATTTATGCAAGCCCTCCGCCCTCAGATATATGACTAATGAACATCGTTATGTGGGGGCAAATTCCACGAGACGGAAGTGCAATACAGATGCATAAATGATAAATAAAAAATGTACCCCTTTTAAAAAAGAAAAACCGCATGCTAGCCATTACAGTAAATACATTATCAATTGAAAATGTGATAATTCTTTCAAGCCTGTAAAATGTCCCAATAGCTCTTATTCTCCATACAAACTTAACACAGACTTACTTAATGAATGCACATATGAATGTAGGCAGGTGAGGATAATGCGAGTTACATAGGCTTCTGCTTATCTTGTAGCCTGCCAGCTATTCAGATGGCCGTTTAATTATGTAACCAAAGCCACAACAGAGTCAAGAGTTATGGTGGCTTCCTAATCTAAATGTAGCACCACAATCAGAAGTGATTGTTGTAAAGTATGAAAAGTCGTCCAGTGCTGAACTCAGCTAAACAAAAGTATATGACGTTTCTGAATTTTTCACCTGATCCATTCTTTCCTAGAAATTTCACATTCAGTGACATCTTAGAAAAGAGAAAAACTGTTCCTTGATAGTAGTAGTGTTAAATGGATTGGTGTTCATTTGTTGGTGGCAGTACGGGGGTGTGTGTGTGTGTGTGTGTGTGTGAGTGCGTGGGGGTGGGGGGAGTGTGGGGAGGTTCGTATTTTTTCTTGAAGGGTGTGGGAAAGCTATCCAAAATATTTGAGAAATCTAGAAGCAATAGCGTTTTAGTTGCGAGGAGGGTTGATGTATTCTGTATTTTAAAAGAAATGTCAACTAGATTGGAAAGCCCTAGAAAGCATGAAACTGATCTAATTTCTCCGGAGTACTTTTTCTTCGAGGTACTTTGTAGGAGAGATTTTTAAGTCCTGTGTTGTGTGCTCATGTGTTTTGTGTGTGCTTGTATAAATGCCAGAGGTCCCTAGATTTTGTTTGGATTTGGATTTCCTAAATAATCTGGCCTTTCTGCTACCTGGGAGAGTATCTGTCCAAATTCAGTCCCGTGCAGTTGTTTGCTAGGTACCAGATCCTGGCGGCGAAAGTGAGTTTCGATTTCTCCAGAAGGTTTTCCACGTTTGTCTGTATCGGCCCCCCTCCAAAACTTTTGAAGATGTAAATGTACATCGAGTTTTCTCGCTAAAACCAGTTCGTTTCTGTCTTCGAAGTACTCAAGTCAGAAAGACTAACCATACTTTTGTCTAATGAGAAACAGTTGAATACTTTTTCTAACGACGTGAACAGACATTTATTTGTACTGCTTGCGTGTGCAGTTTGGGAGCGCAGCGGGCAGTTTTAACTTGAGGATTAAATTGGAATTCTGAATGCATTCCTTAACTTTTTTTTTTTTTTTTTTTTGGTGTGAGTTTAACTCCTGTAGCGTAAAACGTTAATGTCTACAGACCCTTTTCAATATAATCTGACTTCCGAGGGGCGGCTGCCGTGTTTGTTGAACTCATTCGCGTAAACCGTGGCGCCTGCCTGCTCCGTGTGTTTCCCAGACACAGAGCAGGAGAGGCGAAGGGAGAACCGTGGCTGTCTCGCTCCAAGACATCCCGGGCGCTGCCGGCTCCAAGCTGCACGCCCGCTCCTGGGCACCTCGGCCTTCGCGGACGTAGAAATCTTTCCCCAAATCCCCCTGGGGGTGACGTTGGCGGGAATATCTTCAAACTCGTTGGAGAGAGACCCTTCTGGCTCGGAAAGCTGCGTTTGCCGCGGTGCGGCCGGCGCGGCGCGTCCAGGCTGAGGGATTCCTGTGGTGGGGCGGGCCCTCCGCTGTCAGCCGGCGGCGGCGACTGCGGCCTGGCCACCCCCACCCCGCGCCCCGGCCAGGGCCCCTGAAGCCCCAGGGGCACCCAGCAATTACTGCTGCCGGGTGGTAGCCCTGGCTCGCCTGGTCCTGCCGGGTGCGGAGTCGGGCCGAGCCGTGGGCTCCTGGCCTTGCTCTGGGTCGGCCATGGACCCGACGTGGAGAGGACCCAGGCCCCAGGCCCCAGGCGGGCGCGGCTCAACAGGGCTCACGGCCGCGGGGGTGAGACAGCGTGGAGCGCCCCAGGAGCCAGGTCCAGGCCGGCAACTGCGGGCCTGTGGACTGGGCTGCCGTGCTAGGCCGGGGGTCGGAGTCCGGGGGCTCCAGGCTGCAGGAACTTCAGGACCAGGCCGCACAGCATGCAGCCCGCGCATTGAGAGCTTGCTACCGCAGCCGGCTGTGCGGGACCTTCTCCTCGGCGCGTCTCTCCAGCTAGGAAGACCTGGAACACTTGGCCAACCCAACTCGCACGGGCTGGGTCTTTGTTCTGGAACCTTCCTGTAGGTTCTCAGACTCCCCTACTCAGACTCCCCTGGACCACTCTCCTTTCCACCAGAAGGGGAGGGCTGTCTTACCTCCCGAGGGGATCGCCTGCAGATACCCCACAGAAGTCTCTGGAGCTCCAGCGGCCTTCTCACGGGCCTCGTCCCCATCTTTGGCCCCTTCCTTTCCCTCGGAGCCTATCTCTTACTCGACCACGGTCTCTCTCCCCTATTCCTCACTCCCCTTTTCCACACTGCCCTACCGCCTTCCTCTCTCCCTCACCTCCTCCCCCCCCCTTCCCGGCTTCCTTTCTCGCGCCCTGGTCTCCACTCCTCCCCACCTGTCTCACTCTTCCTCTCCCCCACTAGTCTAGTTTAATTGCCTTTCTCCTCCATCCCGACCCCCTCCACTCCGTTGCGTTCTGATGCTAGACACCGCAGGTGTTCCACAGAAAAGGAGACTGTCTTTGGAAAGAAGGCTACAGAGGGTGCCCTGGGCTGGTGGAGAAAGGCCCCTCCCCTCATTTCACCCTGGTGCTTCCTGCTCCGGGGCTGCCCTTGGAAACGGTCCTGCACCCTGGGTGCAGGGGGATGTGACCCTCTGGCCCCCTGGCTCCCAGCAGCCTCAGCAGTGGGCCCACCCGACTGTGGGGCTCCAGGTGGCAGGCTTGGCCGCCCTCCTCATGGAAATTCCCAGTCCAGGCAGACCCTGAGCAGCCTCCATTT